TTGGAGTTAAATCAACAGCTTTGCGCTTTGGTGATTCAACAAAGGAATGGATTACTGGGTTTGGAATTGCATGCGTTGGTGGTCTTGCTCTTAGCGGATTTAATGCTGAAATAGGTATTAGTTTATTACGCCATTCCATTCTATCTGTTTTCGTGACTGTTTCAATTGTTTCTACTTTCTGATTCATTTGTGTGAAGCAGGCTGGCCGTATTATGCATCTCTGGCTGCTGCATCTGGACACTTAGGCTGGCAAATATGGACAGTTGACCTTTCATCACGTGCTGATTGCAACAGGAAGTATGTTGGGGAAGTTCATTGCATGAACTCATAGATTTTGTTATCGAAAAATGAAATTCTGAAAGGATCTCAGTTCTTAATTTTATTGGCTAGAACATCTTTTTGGAGCTTCAGAAAGTTTTTATGAAAAAGCAGTTTTGAGATTATCATAAACTTTTTCAAATTTCACTTTTAGTTTTTCATAAGATTAAATCATATAGCTTTGCTAGATACACTTAATGCCATATTTATACCTTCAGACCTCAGAAGAACTAACCCCTTCAAAATTCAGTGATTGCTTAATGTTATTACTTTTCAAGTGTTTTTATTGATCATTGCAGTATGTTTGAAAACTTCTGAACGTAACGAATTAAACATTATGTAGCTGACTTTGTTAGTATTTTGTTTGCTATTTTATTTTTCCTTCAGATTTGTCTCAAATAAGTGGTTTGGAGCTATCATATTTGGTGGAGTTCTAGCTGGCAGACTTTCATCTAGGGGTATATTTGTCTTATAGAGAATACACCAGCACATTAGAAATTGTGCCCATACTTAAAATTGATTGTCCTAGATCTTGTATCTGTCCATTTATTGGTATCAACAAGTTTTCATAGCCAATTAATTTATGGCTGAGCTTTATTCCTTGCATGTTCTTTTGAGTTATTTTTTGGACTAACTGGACATGGTTAAGGTACTGACATGATATTGTGTACAAGAAACAAAACTAGTTTTTTCTCTCACTTTTAAACCAGTATTCATTTGAACAATAGTTTAATGATTAATTGAAACTAGTATTATATTGAAGTGGAAGATTGGTTAAGTGGTTACACTAGTTGAGTGCTTTTATTATGTTTATTTTATCCCTTTTGTAGCGGTCATCCGAGGTTATCTAGCTAATCTTTGCAAACTGCAGTGTCATGAAAATAGACTTTGAACAAAGGAATAAACGAGTGTTGTATAACATACACAACTTAACATTAGAGGCAGTTGAGCTTATGACCAAGAACTCAGATATACTTTGCAGGATTGAAAATTAACCTGTGAAAAGCAGTCTGCAATGAATGCATCAGATGTTCGGCCATTCTGAAAACATAAAATAACATTTGTCAGTTTGTTTTTGAAAAAGCAAGTAGAAATTGTTTTAATACCAATCCATTTTTTTTAGTATGATTTAATTCCTGAAGTTTGATTTTAGTTCCTCAACTTTGATGTACAATTATAATTGTTTTTGTATGAACTTTTTATACATTTTGGTTTTTAAAACTTTTAAAATGAATAATATAATCATTTTAATTCAATTATGTTAATTTTTTAATATGTAAAATGCATTTCATATTAATTTTTGAGTTGTTTACACGATTTTAGATCGAAGAATTTTAATTTTGTATCAAATTTACGGACTTACCAATCATACTTTAATTTTTTTTTTCTGTTTCAATAATTTTACTTTTTGAACTTCAAAGGTAAATTTATTTTTTCCTTTGATTGAAACAACTATTTCCCTTCTCAACTTAACACTTATATGTTTAACTCTTCAGAAAGAGTAGGAGTGGACAAAACTTCATTTGTGTTAATATATAATTTATGTTAATATGATGTACTTGTTTCAACCATTTAAATCTTATTTTATCAAATCCATTTGAGTGTTTCATCCTAACCACCTCCAAGACTCTCTCTCTCATCCTGCACCTCCAAAAATTCCACTGTACCTCTGACAATCTCATCATCATCCTGCACCTCCACTTTGGCAAAAACGGGAGGGGGAACGCAAAAAGGGTGGGGCCAGGGGCGGGGCGGGGGGAGGAAAAAAGCGGACGACCGAAGAAGAATGGAAGGGAAGGGAGGGGAAAAGGGAAAGAGAGGGGGAAAAGAAGGGGGGAGGGGACGGAGGAGGAAAAGAGAGGCGAGAGGGAGAAGTAACGTCACTAGAGAGGAAAAACAGAAAAAGAAAGAAGAAGAAGAAGAAGAAGAAGAAAGCAGAAGAAAAATAAAAGGGGAGGGAACAGAGGCAAAAGATGAAAGGAGAAGGAAAAGAGGAAAAGAAAGGAACGAAGGAGGAAAGGGGAAGAAAAAGGAAAAGGGGAAAAAAACGCGGAGGGAGAGAGGAAGAAGCGAGAAAAGAGGGGAAGACGGGGCGTGGGAGGGAAAAGGAAGAAGAGGGAGGAAACGGAAAGAAAAAGGAGAAGAGGGGAAGGAGGAGAGGGGGAGAGGGGAAGAAGGAAAAAGAGAAGGGAGAGGGGGAAAAGAGGGGGAGGAAGAAAATTGAAAAAGAAGAACGGAAAAGAAAAAGAAAAAGAAAAAAGAAGAGTGAAAAGAAGAGGGAAGAAGGGAAAGAGAGGAAGGAGAGGAAAGAGTAAAGGAAAGTGAAGAAGGAGGAAAGGGAAAAAAACAAAAGGGGAAAAAGGGGGGAAGAGGAGAGCGGAGCGATGAGGTAGAAAGAGGAGATCCAGGATCCGAGGAAAGAAGGGGGGGGAAAAGGGGGAGGGGAGAGAGAACAGGGACGAAGGAGGGAAGGAAGGGAGAGGGGAAGAGAAGGTGAGGAGATGGAACGAGGGGAGGGAAGAGAAGTGGAGGGGGGAGGGAGAAAGAACGGGGGGAAAACGGTGGAGTAGTGAAATGTGTAATAATTTATTAATTTAATTTAATATTTTAGGATAATTTAATATATTTAAGTATATTAAATATTTTATTTAATATAATTTACTTTTTTGTTATTATTTTTATTTTTTATTATTTTATTTTTAATATAATTATTATTATAACATAAATTATATTTTAATAATTATTAAAATATAAAATTATATTAAATAATATTTAAATTTTAAATTTAATTATTATTAAGGTGATACAGAGTCTTTTTAACAAGAAAAAGAAGAAAATAAAAATATATTTATTAAAATTAAAAATAAATTTTCTATAAAGTTAAAGGTGTAGGATAATGATGAGATGTCAGAAGGTTAAAAGTGGAATTTTTGGAGGTGCAGGATGAGATCTTGAAGGTGTAGGATGAAACACTCAATCCATTTTATTAAATGTGGATTTTAATCTAATTTACATTTTATAATATTTTTGGATTGGATATTCATTCTTTTAAATTAGATTTTTAAATATAGAAAATTTAAATTTTTACTTCGAACAGTTGAGATAAGTTAACTCAAAATAAAGGTTGAGACGAACCAACCTAAACCAAAGAGGTCAAGATGACATCTCTAAGTCGAATGTTAAGATGGGTTGATCTAAGCCGAAGATTGAGACTAACTAGCCTAGGCCAAAGGTCGAGACGGGTTGGGTAGGGCTAAAGATCGAGATAGGCAGGGTTGGCTGAAGGTCAAGATGGGTCAAGTTGAGTCAAAGGTTGAAACAGGTCAAGTCAGACTTAAAGTTGAGATAGGTTAGGTTGAAGATTGAGACAGGTCAGACCAAAGGTTGAGACAAGTCGAGTCGGTCAAAGGTTGAGACATATTGAGTTTAAGGTCGAGATGATTCGAAGGTCGACATGGCCGAGCCGAGTTGAAGGTCGAGACGGATCAAAGATCGAAACAGGCTGTCTCAAGTCAAAGATCTAGATAGGTTTGTCCGGACAGAAAATCGAGATGAGTTATCATCCCAAGCCGAAGGTTATGACAGATTGACCTATTTCGAAGGTTGAGAAAAATCAAAGGTCAAGAGTGATCGATACAAGTCGAGAATCGATATAGATTGGTTCGGATTGAAAACACGCATTTACAAAATTCAATTTAAATTATTTTTATAAAAAAGTGAATTTTGAATTTAAAACTTGATCCAAATTTTGAATTTGGGTTTAAAGCTTGATCCAAATATTAATTTTAAAAAGAATCCAAACTATTTCTGCATCAAAAATATATATAGATCTAAAATTTGATCCAATTATTTTTATCTTGATTGATCTTTAAAAATCTAATCCATGTCCACCCCTAAAAATGAGATGCTGTCATGGTGACGGGATGTTCGAAAATAAGACGTTCAAATGTTAAAAATGTCATGCAACTATTTTTTTCACTTTCATTAATATTGTTTGGTTATAAGAAAAAATCTTCTTAAAACACAACTAAAATCACTTTATTTCGATAATCAATTATCTGTATAATTGGCTATTGTTATAACAAACTATAATCGGAATTAATTTTTGTCTGATAACTTTGCTGAAAAATAATTGAGATAATTAAATCTCACTTGGATAAAACAAAAAGAAATTTAAATAAGAAAAAAATGTCAATATTCAAGGAAATAACATATGAAAAATAATAAGCTAAAATTTTCAAGAAAACAAATTATTTTTCTGAACATTTTTAGTAAATTTAATCTGAATTCAAACATTAACTTATTTTAGAAACAGTTTATATATATAATATATAAAACAGCTAAAATTGAAGAATAAAAAGTTATTTTTTTTAATTGGAAGTGGCTGTGATCTGTTTCCTTGCATAGAAAATAGAGAATAAAACATATGTCAAGATTTTTGTCACCAAGAAGGGAGTGCATTACATTACAGAAATCAACATGTCTTAAATCTACCAACAAAATGTTTCGGATTTATCGAACATACTGCATGCCAGTAAAGTACCCACAAAGAGATTTTGGGCAGAATGGATGAAGACAATTACTGGTGTCACTTCCCTGACAGGCACCATAAGCCAAGTTAGTTTTATCTTGCCATTAGAAGTTACAGAAACTTTAATCTAAGGTTAATCATTTCAGTATTCGGTTGCATATGTTACATTTTCCTTTTCATGCCATAGAAGAAGGAACAAGTTTGACAATAAATAAGTACATTTTATCAGTGGGAAAGGAAGTGCTTCAACTGTGTCCCTAGACAAGGTGACGATGATGCTACACATTGAAATGTTTGTGCTTTTGTCTTGGTGTAACTGTGTAATGAACAAGGACCTTATCTCAGGAGCTGAAATCATGTACAACAGGGAAGGGAGAATGTGGGATATGAAGTTCAACTGCCAAAACTTAAGACCAAGATGAAGAGAAGCTGTTGATCAAGTCATTTACATGTTGTGTGCACCTGATAAGGTATAATAGAGAGAGTTTTTAGCTAAGTAGAGAAGAACAATATCTATGAGACAGAGTGTCTCCTACTTCTACCAGTTTTCCCCTCTGAACCACGAGACTTCCTACCTGATTTCTGGCGCTTTCCTCCTCCTTGACCACTAAAAATTGCAATCTTCCCTATACCCTTTGAAATTGATGTTAAGAATGTTCTTCCATTTCCTCCCTTGTCAATCATGCCTTGTTTCATGAACATCTGTTCCTTCTCCAACTCACTCAGCCTCACCCTCATTCTTGAAATCTCCAGCTTCAGTTCCCGGTTTTCTCTCCTCAGAGAGGCATAGTTGTCCCTTGGGGACATGGCTGCACTTGGAACACCACTGCTTATTCTCTGTGATAGCAGCCCATCTCCTGAACTCCCTGACAACGCGTTCTTCAAACGCAGCTGCTCGAAGTACAGCACTTGCACCACCATCTGCAGTGGAAGCCTGTTATTCTGTGCTGCATGGTTGCATGCTTCTTGAGATAGCTTCTGGCAGTCTATCAACTTGCACAGCTTCTTGCATTCTTGCTCTGTTAGTGCTGGATGTGCCTGAACAAGGAGCAGAAAGATTGCTGTTATCAACATCAAGAAGGAAAAGGTATACATTGAATAATATATGCACTAAAAGTGTAATGGTTGTTCTTGTTCATATAGTAGTCTAATCATGAACTATCATATATGTTTGTTGATTTTTGTGATAAATATCTTAAAAGTCATACTAAAAGTGTAACCGATGCATGATTGAGAATATGATGTTTAACTTGGGATCACCTAACTATTTGAATCAGAGATAGATATGTGCTATATTTCAAGCAAATTTACCTTCAAATAAATGTCCACGGCTCTATAAAGGCCATCGTCAATAACACGAGCATAATCAGGAAGTATCTCTATCAAAGCAACGAATTTCTGTAGACTTAAGTACGGATCAGGTGCAATTTCTGCTAAATAAGCATCTATAAGCTGCCCCACTTTTAGCAGGGAACCATGGCCAGCAGAACAAAGCCCATCAGATTCATATCCACAATCTTCAGTTTCTTCCTCTTCGACCCTTTGCAAGAAATTCACCAGTAGCCTGTGAACTGTATCAACATCAAACAAAGAGTCTCCACTCTGCAGTGATGGTATAAGTAGATCATCTAATGAGACCATTTCCAACCGTAATGCAATCCTTCTTTCAAGCTCAAGCCTACAGGGAATGTTTGCACCTAACATGATAGCCATCTTTAACATGCCAAACAAAAATGTCAAGGGAATGGCAGAGCTTTTGTCTGTTGGCATGAGACTCACAAGAGTTTCCACAATTATCCTCTGGTCCTTTTCTACACTGGTTGGACTTGAGTTTGTCCTTGATGGATTCCAGAATTGGCATTTTCCAATACCCTTTAGAGATGATTGAGCATAATGCATCAGTGATGCAATAATGCTATCTGATCTCACCCCCATTCTTCCCATGGCACAAATAACTCCTTGGAAGTAATCTATACGCAGAACTGAGAGATCTTCAACCCACCAGGCAACACAATCCTCCTTTAGCTCTCTAGATTCTCCATCACAGTCTAATTTAGATAAGCCAGAAACTAGCTGCTCCTTGCAAGCATTCATTGCAATGGATTCCACACATCCACTTGATATTTCAATTTCATCCACTATATTTGTAGGCAACATCTCACATGTGGATAGCACTTCCACTGACTTCTGAAGACTCTGAAAGACAATCTCATTCAGATAAATCTCTGCTCTTGAAATGAGGTTTTGCTCCCTGTATTCTTCTGTCATTTCCAGATACTCTGCTGCACAACGAAGCCGGGCAACATTGAATGTTGTAATCTCAAAATTCATCCCATAGCAAAACTTCATGGCAAGTTCAAATGTCTGGTGCCCCCCTGGAAAGTTGAGGAGCTCCAAGTTTGAAACATTGGAACCCTTGGCTTCAGCCACCATTTTCCGGATTTTTCCACTTAGAGTCACCAGGGGAAACTTCATGAACCAGAACAAAGTAGCGACATTAGTTTAAATAGATTTTTATTTCTGTACTATCAAATACATTATCTTAGTATCATTGAGTTGACTGGTGCAGCTATTTTGCACTCAAAAGAAGCCAAATAGAAGTCATCAACTTTTCTCTTTGATATCTTAAAGTAGGCATGAGTTTTGGCAAATAGTGGTTGATTTTTAGTTGGTTGTTAGCATATTATCAATTTTGGACATACTGTTCACCATATCCCAATTCATAGCAACTGGTAAAAGAGACGCCCAAATTAAACACATGGCTACAGTTTAGAATATAAAACTCACAACTCAATGACAACTAGAACTAGTCATGAAAGTATCAAGTGGTTTTCAACATCATCTCAAAAGAATTACCTTATGTAGCAGAAAAGATTCACCATCAACGACAATTGTAATGTCTCCGGCAACATCAGCAAAAATCCTGCAACAAAAAAGAAAACATGGGATGACAACTGTTATAAAATCCTGTCAAGGATGCATGGATTCAGCATCCTTTGAGTCATTTCACCCTTCAGCCTAAAAACTTACAAAGCAAAGAAATAAGAATATTGTCTTTAGGCATCTGTTCACCTAGAATTTTCCAAAGAACTTAGATAATCTCTATCTAGCTCAAAAATCTCCAAATCCCACAATAAAAACCGTTTTGGATAATATGCATAACCTTTTCCACAAAATCCAAAGGAAGGACAAACTAAGGTATCAGATGCACAATCAAAATATTATCAAATGCTTTAATTTCTAAACCAGTAAGATAGAACTACGGTGAAAATAAGACTAGCAAAACAAGCTCATGAGGTTACATTTTCAATCCACCTTCAAAAGAAACATAGGCAGGAAAGTTTATGACACTCCCAAAATACATCCATACACAGTCAAAGAGAAAAATAAGAAACAAAAGGTTTCTGAATTACCTAGTAGTGAATGAGTTGCAAAACTTGGGAGTAGCCGGAGAGCGTTTAGAAGAAGAGAGGGAGGTTTCAGAAACCATGTTTCTCTGCCTATCTCTCTATCTATGTATCTGTTAAAAGAAAGAGTGAAGAGAGTTGAGAAAAGGAAACTCCTGCTGCTGCCTGATCTGTGTATGTTTCAGGAACAGCAGCACAAACTGAGGCTTGTGCTGTGGCTGTTGATGATTAAACTATCAAACAATGCGTACGGGCAGATTGCTGGTTCAGGAATATTTTGGAGCAAACGCCCCAAAAGGCACTCTCCATAGCATTCATTTATTCACAAATGCCATCACATACATCCAACTTAGCTTTTTCTTTTCGTTTTCATAACATGTGCTGCTGTGTGTAGTAGTAGCCAGCCTATGGTCTTCTTACCAGTGCTGAACCATCTTTTGCTTTTTGGCTGCTTTTGTTTCTGCCTTTTGCGTTACAATACTATTGCAATACACTATACAAATACAGTGTTCAGACTTCGTATTCACATGTAATTATCTAATCAAGTACCATTGTTGGCCTTGGACGTTGACACTTTACGTTACAAACTAAAAGACGGAGTCCAGTGGTAAATTTTTGCATAAACAAACAACAAGGTTGTGCCTGTGCCACTTGCTTTATTGGGTTTCGATTCTGAATTGAAATGACCAAAACCAGACGTTACAATTATAGTTTTAACAGTGCCCATTAATCATACAGTTACACTACACGATATTCAAATTCTTTTACTGATAAAAACTGTTAATTTAAGAGCTTTGTATGGGAGTTACAAATGAACTTCAAAAATTCAAGACACTGTTAAAATGCTGCCCAAATGCTCCATCAGTGTCATGAATTTAGCTTAATCTTGTCTAAGTGCAAAACAAGTAAAATCTAATCAAGAAATTTACTCCTACATCTTGTGAATATACACGAATATGACATCATATGAATAAAACAACGACAAAAGTCACAAGTAAATACCAGAAATCATAATAAGTATACTTTTTAAGGAGATTATTGTTGTTGTTATTATTATCTTTATAGTAAATTTTGATTAAATACCAGTATAAAAATGTTCTGCTTATACCATTTACTTGGTTGGATCACTGCATATTTTTAGTAGAAAGATAAGAACAATGATTGAAAATTGGTCACACACTTTTATGTATGGCATTGTGAGTATCACCTTAAGCCTAACTTTTACCCTCATGATATCTTACCAAACCATGGAAGTATCCCTGCACAAGATAGGATAGGAAGCAAAGGGTGAAAAGCAAAAGATGTGACACGTAGGGCAAGGGCAGCATGAAGATACAGCAATCACGATGACAGTGGGGATGATTTGATGAAGGTTTTGGGGTCAATGTTGGATAGTATAAGGCAGAAGAAAGAAAGAAAGAGGTTGGTTTGGTTGTTTGTTTCAAAAGAAAGAAAGAAAAAAAGTGGTCTTAAGACATCTGACATGGAGTGTTGGTGGCATGGATCAATGTCACTGAGGTGACACGGAACTCAATAAAGATGCAATTATTAGAGACAGCACCACTACACATCTCTGCATTCTTATTTCCTTTCCCAACTCATTATATATTATTCATAACTCATCACACTATTTTTTTTTCAGTTATTAAAATTCATAAACTACTGCATCATGTCACAGGTATATTCCTTCCTTGTCTGGGGTATAATTAGATATTTACACCCTTTTTCTTTTTTAGACCAAAGTTCTCCTTCATTTATGCATAACCTTTTATAATTTAACCATTCATACTTTATGCAGCTTCATGACAAATATAATCATTTTCCGACAACAACAAAAACTTTATCGAACGAAAATCCTAAACTTGCAGAAATGCTGTGGCGCGTCTTACACCTTAACGGCTCCATTATCACAAACTATATAACTGTCTTAAAAGTAATGTCAATAAGATTAATTAAGATTAGTTTATGAATGTTTTTTCATGTCAAATTGGCTTAATGACGCCAAAACTACTTAGATTTGTTGTTAAAAGTATGTTTATGTTTTATAATCAGCATGCATGAAAAATTAAAAAAGGGTAATCTAATAGTTGTTTTGAAAAATGAAACCCTATTTCACATAAGCCCAATGACGAAAAGCACATCATGCACATCGAACATATATATGCATTACCACGTCCATTAAAAATCAAGCAACCACCACCAACCAGTATTATGGGATGAAAATGATTAAGGCTATAATAATATATATGTTCTGAAATCAAATCTCTAAGCTATACTTAGGGTTAATAACTAATTCGAGGAGAAGTTTCTTTTGGAGTTCAAACTCAATTCTCTAACAATTTTGCTTTTGGGAGACATTTTAATTATAATATTCTAAATTTATCACAATTCTAAATATCACTAAACTTTCTCACAATTTTATTCTTATCAAATATCTTAATAATTATATGTACCACAAAATGTCTGTAAGGTACTCTTAATTTTGTTATCTAAGTTATGTAAATTTGACCAAAGGAAACTATTATTATTATTATTATTATTATTATTATTATTCTTAACACCACGACTTTTTAAAACTAATTTATTCCTAAAAGTCAACAAACTAAAATTTAATTATACTTTTAAAAATTCAAAAAGTTGGAAATAAAAATAATTCCAAAGCTACCTGATTATATCTTATGTATTAGTTTTCTTTCTTATTGAAAAAATGAACTTCCAAAAGTTTCATCTTTAACTTTAATTAATATTTTTATTTTTTCTCTTTCTTATTAAAATTACTTTGTACCCTTTAATAGATTTTGAAATCTGTACAGATTTTAAAACCCAATTCATAAATTTTTTAAATTTCATTTTTAGATTTAAAATTTAATAATAATCTAATTTAATTTAAAATTTTAATATTATTTAATATAAGTTTATATCTTAATAATTATTAAAATATAACTTCTATTATTATAATAATTATATTTTAAAAAAATAATTAAAATAAAAATAGTAATAATAAAAATAAAATAGTATAAAATCTTATTTAATATATTTAAATATATTAAATTATATTAATTATTAAATTAAAATTAAATAATTATTAAATTTTAAATAAATAAAAAAAGTGAATTATATGTATATCACTATTCATTCTTGGGTGTTTCATCCTGCACCTCAAACCCCTTAATTCTACACCTCCAAACTTTTCTAAAATGCCTAAATTATCCTATAATTAAGAAGCTTTTAATATTTAAAAAAACGAAAAGTAAAATGGTCAAAGATTCTTTTTATTAACTCTTGTCAGTGTGCATTGATATTTTTCCCCGAATCATTCTCCCTACACCTCACTAACTTCATCTTGCACCTTCTATTTTTTTTAATTCCAATTGTAGCCCTAACTCTAGTTCTGCCAGTGGTCAGTGAACATATTTTGGTTTTCTAAAAATGTTGACCAATCCACTGATAAGTTTCCTCTGTCGCATCTCACTTGAGACCCTACACCCCTCAAGTCTTTCTTCTTTCTCCTCTCTACCGCATCTCACCTGAAACCTTACACCCTTGGAGTCTTTCTTCTTTCTCCTCTTTGTTGTCCTCCTGTCCTCCCTCCTTTTTCACAATTTTTTGAACGTGTTGAGTGGTCTTCCTTCCCCTCCTCTCTCGTTTGTTTAGTATTTGTTCACTATTTTTTGTGTTGGTGTCGTGGTTAGCTCTCCTCCCTCGTTTCTTCACTCCTATTGGTGTTGTGGTTGCAGGGTGTCTTCTTCTCGTACATCAATGTCCAGGTTAGTTATTTTATTTTGATTTCTGGTTGATCTTTAGCATATGTGTGGGTGGGAAAAAATGATAGAATGTTTGTGCTTGGTTGATCTGCACATGTTTTATATCTGCTTTGATCTGGGTGGGCGTGGACTGGCAGCAAGGGACAACAAAAAGGAGAACTATGAACAAAACATCAGGATTTAGTACAAAATGGGGAGATTGAAATAATCTCTGCAAAGAACATCCATTAATCATAAGCAAGCATGTCAAATACATAGGGAGGTTAAAAAAAACTATGCACAGAAAACGAAAATGAGGCACCCATAAACCACAGTTCAATTGGTAAAAATAAAGTATACACAGTAAATTTGCATTCGAAGTGCGCCACCACTGAACCACACTTCGAAGTGTGGTTATGTTTTTTAAGATGCACTGTAAAACCACACTTGGAAGTGCGCCACCACTTAACCACAGTTCGAAATGTGGTTATGACAGTTCGAAATGTGGTTATGGTTTTTAAGATGCCCAGTGAAACAACACTTGGAAGTGCGCTGCCACTTAACCACAGTTCGAAATGTGGTTATGGTTTTTAAGATGCACAGTGAAACCACACTAGGAAGTGTGCCACCACTTAACCACAGTTCGAAGTGTGGATAGGGTTTTTAAAATGCACAATGAAACCGCAGATTGAAGTGCACCACCAATGAACCACAGTTCGAAGTGCGGTTACGGTGTTTAAATATTAAACTAACCTCTTGAAGAGCTTTCTGTGAGCACCTTTTTCCTCATCCAATATCCACAGCACCACTAACATGCAGCACAACCACTACACTCTATAACCTCTCAACTCTCAACCCAGAAAATAATGAAACAGTGAAAAAAGGCTACTGCAAGTGAAAAAACCACAAGAGGGAAAGGGGCTGCATGCATATTAGGGTTTATACAATCAGAACAGAAGTTGATGGTTAGGAGGATGATTGGTAGTTAGGACATCATTAAGTCATTATTAATTCTGTTTTGACTTTAATAAATGAAGGACAAATATGTAAATTTGGGGGTGCAGGATGAAATAGGTGAGGTGCAGGCAACATCCCTCTTTTTCCCCTCATACTTCTCTCATTAAGATATTCTTCTCATAACATTTCTATTTTTCTGGGTTTTCCTCTTCCTCTCAGGTCATCTCATTATTAAAAAATTTCATACAATTTTAAATACCAATTTTTTTTAATAAATAAAAGAAAAAGTAATAATTTATTTTATACAAAAATTTTAACAAAAAAACTAATACAATAAATTAAACATTTATAATTAAATTATAAAATTATAAATTGATATTATAAATTATACATTTATAAATAATATAATCAACATACAAATAAATGTGATTTTTTATATTATAAAAATTAAACATTTAGAATGCATTGATTTAAAATGCATTGTTTATATTAACAAAATTTAATAATTATAAAAATTAAGTTAACTGGTTTTATTTAATTTTTTATAAAAGAAATTTATTGTTAAATAATATTAATAAAGAAGCATGCAGCAAACATAAAGCAATGTAAAAAAACTTAATAATGCATAATATTAATAAAGCATCATGCACCAAGTAAAAAACATGTAAAAAAAAGCTTAATAAAGCAGCATACAGCAAATAAAAAGCAAGTATAAAAAATGTAAAAGAAGCAGCAAATACACATGAATATCTACATATCCGATACTTGATTTATCGGATTTTGACGACTGATCAGTACTTTCTCGAATTTTCGTA